GAGTACATACGCACTGGGAAACAAACGCATTTAATGACAGCTATGGGTCTGGAATAGGTGAGTCGTATTGTTATCTTCTAAGATTTAACACTGTACCCTAAAGCATTCTCAAAACAAAACTCTTTGTTCATAGAAGATGACAACCATGATCTAACACAAGGTTGAAGGCATCTTATCACTTGGGATCCCACAGATTTGAGAAACAGTATAAACATAAATGTTCTGTCAACTAAAACGTTTGGATGTCATTACTGAATTTTCATTACTGAACAATTACTGAGTTGAAAAATTAATGAGGTCTGCTTTTCTGTGATTTTTTTTTCCTGAGTCTCGCATAGAAGTCCCATTCTTATTACTAATAATCTCCTGAATCCCTGTTCTTTTCTAAGATTTTTTGTGGCAATAGCTTGAGTTCCCCTTTTACATCCCTCAAATGTCTGCCAGATGTCTAAGGGCCCTCCAAAGCAGTACATGCTCAGTGTCTGAGCTTGGCTGGTTGCTCTGCATCTGCTGATAGGCAATTGGAATAGGCAACTGCTGAGCTTCTGCTTCAGCATTTCTCCCAGCAGCAACTCATCCCAGGCACCAGTTCTCCTGAAACCTTGTTTTGATTCAAGTTTGTGTGATTTCTATCCCAACCTCAAAAGTGTTCAAGAGGTATTGCACAAAAATAAAGGACAGGTGGGCATAACCATTGCACAAGCTTGTTTCCCGAAGTTTTCTGACTGAATAAAAAAAAAAAAAAATTTCTTGTAAGATAAAATTCTGAAATGTACTTTGAAGACTAGAGATGTTGAAGGTAAATCAAAAGAACCTGGCACAATCATCTTCTTTGCCAGCTTCACTGTTGAGAATGGAAACAAAAACTTACATCGGGTTTTTCAGGGTTTTTTTTTTGTTTGTTTAGTAGTGTGTCATTCTCTTCTGCATGCAAAAGCTTACATATCTTGTCAAAGTAGTAGTGTTCTTGTAGCAGCAACAGTCTGAGCAAGATATAAACAAGGAAAGCTGTGTAGTTATTAAGTCAGCCAAAGCATCTAGAAAAACCAGCAAGCGTGCAAGTCTTTCTTCAGGTCTGAAGGAGAGGCAGTAAACTGCAGACTAAATACAGGTTGGAAACAGTTGAGTTTGGCATAAAAAAATTATACTTGAAGAAATTGTTCCCAACTCTGTGCTTAACAGAAATGTACTGCTCCTCTCTGTTTTAGATCTATGAAAGCTTTGAGTGCCTGTTTGTTTCTTTCTTTCTTTTTTGAGCCATATTAGGTATTTAATAAAATACACTATTTCTCCTTAGGAACATTTCTTGCTTAAGAGTTACGTTTTATATTCCACTTACTTCCTTGGTTTCCTTTTCATAAGAGTAAGGAGCTCATTTTAAAAGAAGTTGCTCCTGACAAAAAAAAAAAAAAAAAAAAAAAAAAAAAAAAAAAAAAAGAAATTCTTGCCCCCAAAGCTGAAGCAATTCTATTTCCCACATTCAATCTTTTCTAGACTTTTCCTGTTTAGCATTTATCTAATAAGGTGGAGGGATGTTAGTCTTATCTCATGGATATATCATGCTTGCCAAAGGCGAAGTTGTAAGATTTAAGTAGGATTTGGAAACTTAATTTGGAGATTATCCAGTTTTCATTTTCTGACAATATGAAGTAAATTAGGGACCTAAACTTTTTTATGGTTAAAAAGAAATCCTGTCATTAAATTGGAGTACCACTTCCAAGTGTTGCAGTTGGAGTATTTGTCTGCCTCTTTCGTGGAGAATAAGTTGTGGGTTAGGTAGGATGTTTTAAGAAGAGGATTAGGCAGGTTATGACTTAAATGGTTTGTAATCAAAAGTATCGTTTTCTCAGCCTTCTTTGTAATGTGGTGATGTGGTCATGTTTAAAGGGTTGAAGGAATGATTGTGCGTGCTTAGCCACTGCTAATGCATGTTCTAAAAGCATAGTTTGAAATAACAGTAATTCACTTATTGTCTTCCGGGAAGCCAGTTAGCGTAACCTGCTTTGTCACATGTGGGTAAAGCAGAAAATCAGGATGTATACAAAGTACTGTAAGATTTTTCCCATGTGACCTATCCCAATAAACTGGTATTAAATGCAAAATTCACTAGAGAAGGAGGTGCAATAGCTGAAATATATATATATATATACATATATATATTAAAAAAAAAAAAAAAAAAAAAAAAAAATCTTTAAAAATTTTTAAAAATTGGCCCAAAAAAAAAAAAAAAAAAAAAAAAGAATCATTCTTAGTCTAGGCATTTCTGATCTGAGTTTCACTATTGTAGCTCCTTATAATAGGATTCAGTTTTTTGAAGCTAATGTGGTGGCTTTCCTCATAATTTTTTATATTGCTTTTGTTCCCTTTTCCTACAACTTCATTTCCTCTGGTCAGAAGAGCAAACCACTTAGTGATAGATTTTCATCTTAGTGTAATAACACATGTGAAAAGGGAGAAGAAAGTGTAAATGTGAAGAAGAAAAATTATTATTATTTCAGAATAGTTATATATGGTGTCTGGAGTTTATATAGAACACATATGGGAACACATAATGTTAAAAAAGTCACGTGTATTACATCCTGAATAGTCTGTAATCTAAATAAGATAAGACAAATATAATTCAATAGAGCCACAGTTCAAAGGGGAGTCCCCTCAGCTTGCCAGCACTGGGAAAAAGGGAGAAAGGATTTCCTGAAAATCTTCTTTTAAAGTGAGACAGCTGATAAGAAGAAGAATATATCTTCTGTGAATAAGAAACCACATAGACTGCAAAGAAATGTATTTTGACTGGTATATAAACACCTGTGCTCCAGCTTCTGCCTTCTGGATTTCAGGGAGGCAATCTGCCTGTTAGGTAGAGTGTATTTTCCCTTCCTCTGAGACAAGTGGCAATGACCACTGATGAAAGAGGATGTCAGAGACAAGCCATTGACTGCTCTGGTAGGACACTGCCAAAGCTGCAAACACAGGAGAGACCATGTGTGATAGTCACAGGGCAGAGAGACAACACAAGGAGATGGAAGGATCAAAGGAACAGATAGGAAACAGTGAAAAATGCAGAAGGGTATGTCAGCTGTAGACAGGGTTTATGGAGGTGAGGAACAAGTTTTTGTATTTTAGGAAGTATCTTTGAAACCAAATATGCATATGAACACTATCAAAGCAGTAGATGAGAGATACAGAAGCATCATCATGGGAAAGCTTGAGGAGCAGGAGCTCACACTGGAAGACTGATGTGGTCAAAGCAAGATAACACCAATATTAGCTGCAACCAGTATTTACAGGGACTTATGTAGGAAATCATCCACTTGAGAAAGAGGATAAAATGAAATAATTTGAAGGAAAGGAAAAGCCAACTAATGGTATCCTCCCATATTTCTGTTTGAGTCTTCTCTGAGAAAGACACATTTCCCGTTACTTAACTTCTAGTCCCCAGGAAGTCTCATAATTTTACCCCCCTTTAGAAACATGTACTTTCTGAAAATCTTCAAACTTAATCTTGAGAATTACATTGACACAATCAATGGCACATCAGATGGTTTAATTCATCATCTGAGAACAAATGTTTTCTGTTAAATACCATGATGGCAGTGCAGAGGGAAAGTAACTTCCAATAATGAATGACAAAGGAAAATATTTTAAATAATTTTTACCACAGGCAAGAAAATCATCCAATCTTTTATTTAATTTCACAAGAAATTAATTTCACAGAAAATTTTCACAAGGGTCTTCTAAAATACTCCCAGTACATCTCTGTAAGCAAACAAGGAGATTCATGTTCCCATTTTTCCTAGTTTAAGAAATATAAGTACAGTCATGTTCAAAGAGTTCTTCACAAGATTACAGTTTAAAATAATTTGTATTGTTTAAAGAGTGAAAAAAATGGGGGTAAGAGTTCTCAGGTATGAACTAATGGTTTTTAAAGAAAAAAAATTAATATATTATAAAATAAATTAATCTCATTAAATAAAACCTTAAATTTAATGTAGTAAAATATTCACTAAAATTTAAACAACTTTAAAACCTGGAAGATGCACAAAAACATAGGTCTAGGAATACATTTTGAAAACTAGTTATACTTTTTCTTTTATTATTATTTATCAATGTTTGAAAATTGTATAGTTTGCTTAACTGGAAATAAGATCATCTGAATATATGAAATGTGAAAAGAGTTAGGTATCTTAAATATTCTGCTGCTGTTTATTTTTCATTCTTAGAAAATAAAGTTACATTACCCTCTCCTGTGCTTTGGATAGTCCATAGGAGTACTCCTAACTCCTTAAGTTAAAGGTCTAAAAGCATCAAAACATTTATAGATATCTTATTTCACCTCAGCAGGGTGAGAAAAAAATAACTTTGCAACAGCCAAAATCTTAGCCAATGTGAGCTTTAGTGGACCAAGAATGAAGTAAATAAATGTTACAACTGAGTATCACGCACAGACACTGTCCTGTCCAGCAGGTCTTATATATAGAAGAGGATTTTAAACTAAAAGCCTCCTCCTTCAGCTGTGGCAGACACTCAACAGCAAAGGAATGGTCCATTCTTCTTTAGAAATTAAAACATGAGCTATCATCCACAGTTAACTTGAATTGTATAATCTAAAGTCATTTTAACCTTTTATGGCATATAGCAGAATTCTGTTTTGACTTAATTGTCTTAGTGATAACTAGGATTAACACCGTATGAAATGTATTCTAGAATATGACTATGTCCAGTATTCCCATTGAAGGATGTGTAAATACAGCATTATTAATATCTTGTAATTTGAAAGTGATTTTCAACTGATAACCTCAACTGCCCTTTCAAGTATTGGTTGACCTGCACTTTCTACATGGTACATATTAGTAGGCTTATTTTAGTGATAGTCAAACTGGAGCACAGAAAGCTATGACCAGAAATTGGAATGTATAGGTAAAATATAATGATGGTTTTATTATTGTATAAAGATTCTACCATTACAATAATTACATTTAGTTATTTTGCCAACTTTTTTCTAGGGTTTTGGTAGCCCATCAGGTGAACATTGGCTGGGAAATGAATTTATCTTTGCAATAACAAGTCAGAGGCAATATTCTCTAAGAATTGAATTAATGGACTGGGAAGGAAACCGGGCATATTCACAGTATGACAGATTTCACATAGGAAATGAAAAGCAGAATTACAGGTAAGAATCTACTGAAATTCTTTTGACTCTGCTGAGTGATAAATATTGTTCATTGTTCGCTTGTTAAATGTGAGAAAGGACGATAGTATGAAACTGATTTTCATTGAAAGTGAATAAAGAGGGTAAAAATAAAATAGAAATATGATTTCTCAGTGGTAGAATGTTAGAGTAAAACTAACATATCTGAGAAAAAAGGATGATTATTAATCGTGCTGGCCGGTAGAACTGCTAATAAATTATATAACTTTTACCATATCTGAGACCATTAGAACTCACACCTGATTGAATAGAAAAAGGATATGGATTCTTCAGTACAACTTGAAGGATGTCAACCTCAGAAGCATAATACTGCAACAATGACATGGGAAGGAAAGACCAAAATTGCTGTTAAAACATCTGATATTTCCAAACTAAAAATTCAGTGTAAATCAACAGGAAAACCAGAATACTGGATCCTATTGTGAGGAGATAAAACACAAAACAAAGTGTCAGGTACTGGATAGCCTTGATTCATCATCATCATCAGCATGCCACTTATTAATGAGTTCAAAATAGACATGAAATTAAAACTTTTTCCAATAATATTTTTCTCCCATATTTTTTTAAGATAGAAAGGTAGGAAATGTAAATCTACTTATCAAAAAACAAAAGCAGATGTTCAAAAATGCAAGCAAAAGAAGGGACAAATATTGCCAAGTGAGGAAAAATGTCAAAGGATGCAGTTACACATTGCTCTAAAAATTATGTTGACGATCAGAGAAGATGCCAGGACTATTACTCAGAGGGTGAATTAAGATGTATGAATTAGCTAACAAAAACAGTGTCTTTTTTGCTAACATTTATTCTGTACTGAATAGGGACAAGATGTATTGTTGAGGAATCAGAAGGATGTTGAGAATGTAACTTACGTTAAAGGTTATGTTGAGGGAGGGTTTCTTTTCAGGACTCACCTGAATTCATTCATGGCAAAATAGCAAGAGAATTTCTTCTTTTGTTTCAAAATGCTAGATTGTATTTCTAGTAAGATAGTAGAGCAACTTGGAAATACTTAATTTCTGCCTGTCATAAGTCCATGTAAGAAGCCCAGAGTAGAAGAAAAGTGTTGGAGTTTTGGGGAAGGGCTGCACTGTTGTCCCTCTGACAGTCTGGGAACTCTGCTGGGGACTGTGACCTGAGACTGCCTCAGGTGCTAATTACCAACCAGGACCAGGACACGGGCTTAAGAAATTATGTACAGTGTCCTATGTCTAATCAATTGATTGCCATTCTCCTGGCACAATCCAAGCAGCACTTTCCCTGGCAATTCCTAAACACAGCTGTGGGAGCCCATGGAGCAGGACTTTTTCCAATACACGCTGTGAGCATCTCTGTGTTAGTTTGAAGAAAGTTTAGCTATTCAGACATGAATAGTAGTGTGCCGCTAACTCTGAAGGACAAAGAACAAGCCCTATCCCAAGATTTAAACTTAATTCAAATTTTAATATATCCTTTGTCATCTGTAATAAACTTTACTTCAAAGTAAGAACCTTTAAAGGGCTTTAAAAGGCATAGGATTTGCTCCTCTGCCTTGGCTGATAACACAGGCAGTCGGAGATTTCTTAAGTAGATTAGGTTTAATATGTTGATGGACAGCAGAGTAGCCCTGGAAAACCATCAAATCAGTCTAGGTCTCCAGGATGTCTATATGAGCAAGGAAATAGTTAGGAAAGGAAACTAAACCCACTTTCATTAGATGAAAGGGAAACCTTTTTGGTGATATAAACCATATATTCTGAACATGGAAACAATTGTGAAAACTGATCCATGAAAATTGTTCTTGCTGAACAAGGAAAACAAATGTATTTCAGAAGTGTAGAAATTAGTCAGAAGGAGTGTACAAGCCTCAATAAGTACAATGTTGAGTAACAGGCATAAATTCTGCTATCCACATTCAAATCATTTTTCCACAAAAATCAGAAGGAATTTCACTTGAGACTAATGACTGCAGTTTGGTTCCTGCCTTACTCCATAGAATCGTAGAATGGTTAGACTTGGAAGGGACCTTAAAGATCATCTAATTCCAACCTCCCTGCCATGGGCAGGGACACCTGCCACTAAATGAGCTCTACTCATGCTGTCTGTGTGGCCTTCTTAGAGTATAAGTGAAATTCTTCTTTCTAGGGAATGCAGAGTCAGTTCCATTCACATTATCCTGGAATAAAAAGAGAGGGAAACATGAAGGGGTAAAAAGGCTCTACCCATCTCTGTTGGCCCTCTGGGTTTCAGATTAATTCCTCAAAATCTACTCAAACATTTCTGAATATTTAAAGAAAATAACCAAGTAACTAAGCAGTTCTAGAAGTAATGAAATATAAGCCACATGGAAATCTAAATTGTTTTTCATGCTTGACAAATGCATTAGTAGCTCAGACAGATATATGTCCAACAGACATTTTGCAAACTGAAGTTACGTTGGGCTCTTTTACAAATTATTACAAGAATGCATCCTATGACAAAAAACCTCTTCATTTTGCTTGCCAGCATCACTATCTGTGATAGAAGCAACTCCAGAAGGCAGGCCAAATAAAAGCCTGATTATTGAGTCCTGAAGGGCTGGCCACCCTTCAGAGAATGCTATTTTTTCTTTATCTGAGGAGCTGCCATTAAGAATTTAAATGATTCCTCTGAAGTTGAAAAGCACAGTTTCCCAATCTCCTGCTTGCTGTGCTTTTCCTTTACAGTTATCGAGCATTTGCTATATTTGCTTTCAATACCTCAAACACAGAATAACATACCTTTTCAAGACTTTAGTTGCTGTTCATTTGAAATAGTTTTGCCAAACAAACTAGACACTCGCTTATTTTGGAAGCTGTTAGGATTTTCCGCTAGTGACCCACATTAAATTTTGCTTTTTTTGCGCTGCAAAAATAAGTAATTGTAGGCTGGCTGCACCATATATTACTTTGAAATGATACAAGTGCATTGAGAAATAATAACCACTAAAGAGACAAGTTTCCAAGCTAGTCTGGGCAGTAGATAAAGGGCATCTGAAAAAGGGTATTGAAATGAAAGGAAAAGCGCAAGAAGTGGAACATCTTTCATTTATTCTAAGGCAGTACCTTGTACATTTGGAAGACATGAAAAAAAATTTTAAGGTTCCAGGTCTCAAGCTTGAATATAGTAAATTTAAAAAAAAAAAAAAAAAAAAAAAAAAATGCCATGAAGCGATAAAATGTGTCTGAGAAAATATGGAAAATAATTTTCATGCTGTTTTTCCGAAATCCAGCCCCAACATTATGCAAAGTTCGATTCAGTCTGGATAACTCCCAACTGGTGATTTCAGAAGGGTTCTGTTTTTTCTCTGGGTTGTTTGTATTCTCTTTACTACTTTTTATTAGCTTAAAGAATCTATGATTAAAAAGAGTCATGCTGAACACATGTATGTTAAAAATATACTTGTTTCTCTTTCAAAATGAGACAGGTCCAAAAGGGTTTCTGGGAATGCAGAATAAAATCTATTTATCCCATATGATGACTGCATAGAAAAAGGTTGCAAAGGTGGATACTGAAACAGTAAATGTATAATGATAAATGATAACTGAAGCGGGAAAATCAATGTTGCACCACATGTGAAACCTAGCATGGAAGTATCTAAATGATTACTTTAATTTAGAACATCCTTAGGATTCTTATCTACACAAAATGATTACTCAGAGGGGTGTCTGTAAACACAATGAAAACTGTCTTTTCCAGTCCCTTTACAAGCCTTCCACTGTGACAAGTTAAAACTCCACAGAGTAAGAAGAGTGAGATCTTGCAAGCGCCACTTGGCGCAGTGTTTCTTAATTGAAGTCAAAGGAATTATTCATAGAATTATTAAAACATAAGTTGAGAGTCACAGAAAACACATAGCTTCTCTTCTTTTGCTGTGCAGACACTACCTAGCTCATTCTCAATAGTCTGTTGACATTACTTGTTGTTCTTAGGAGTTGTGCAGATATAGCACACTGCTACTCTGACCTGTATCCTCAGACCCTTCAGAATTAAACAGGAAAAGAAACCATGTGTCGGGATTTCAAGCACTGCACTGATAATCCCACATACTACTTAATGAAAGGAGATATACTGATGCTGGATTTTGACCAGCAATAATTTCAACCTGCATGCACATCTGCTTTTGCTACTCATGATATAGGAGCAGCACTTCAAGCAAGGCATGGGATGGAGAATCAGGGAAATACAATTTTTAATTGGCTGAGCTATTTGTGTTTCAGAACACAACAGAACAGAGAGATTGAATATATGCTCACCTCCCTATGACAATATATTCCAGTATTTAGTCATTATTTTATTTAGAAAAGCTTTCCATTGCTGCAGTGAATCATTACTTTTGGTCCTATCCATAGAGGAATATGATCAAATGATGAGACAGTGCTGCTGAGGTGAGCAAGACTTTGGAATTGCTGTAGGTAGGTATAGGTGACAACTGATGATGGACAGACTGCATCCTAATTTTTGTGAGTGAATCATGTACTTAAGGTGGTGGCTGACCTTTGATAGTTAAAATTAAGGACAACAGTGCTTATATTGGAACCAAGATGACAAAAAGATTACGAAATCTTGTGAGAAAATGAAAGAGAGCACAGAAACGTAAGTTAACGTTAGTGGAACAAGCAAGAGACAAATTGGCAAGAGAACATCAGTTATGTAGCGAAGAATAAAATGTATGGATCCTCAGAGGCAAGTTGATGGAATTTGCTGCAAATAGGAGGGACAATCATTGAAACTATTCAAATCACTTCTCTGACATGGTCCTATGTTTTGTATAAATCTAGGTAGCACAGTTTCCAAACTCTCCAAAATAGTGTTTCTCTCCAGGCTTTACTTTGGGAAACCAGATCAGTTGTTGAATGTAAACTAACTATTCTTATACTTTATGGGACTTGGTAGCAGAGAGTTTTTAGTTCACTGAGTAGAATCATGGTATAATAGAATCATAAAATAATCATAGAATAGTTTGG